CCCCAAAACCCCAAAACCCCATGTTGAAAAATTAAAAAAATAATTTAAAATAAAATTAATAATTTACTATTTATATATTACATTTTAAAAATCAATATAGCCGATATTATCGCAATTTTAAATTGAAGATCATCTTAAGATAGTCTCACCCTCTTAGATTTTTATAGTATCTGATTACTTCAAAGAAGGCCCATACTTTGTAAAAGAATTTCACTTTAGAAGCCAAAAGCGAATTAATAAGTTAAAATCCTGCAAAAGCAAAGGTGAAAAAAATTAGGTCTAAAAAGTAAAGAACTACTAGCTGGAACAGCCAAGACAGGCAATAGTCTGCTGGATATATGTAGTTAAAGAATATCACAACCAGAGTCATTACAATATAGAAAAAATAACTGATAAAATAACCAACAGCATATCTACATCCCATTTACTTGTCGATTTCTTTAAAAGCAATGTTCACTTTCCGAGATCGGACACCTTCGACTTGTTTCCTTAGATGGAGGGGCATTCTAAATATCAAAGCTACTGGAAAACAAATAATCCAAGGAATAATCAGAGTAATCACTGTAGAACCGAGCATGGCAAACATTGATTCTCCTATAATCTACTCAAATTGAGAATAGTATCCGAACATTTATCCGTAACTAGTTATTAAAAGATGACAAGACAGGTAGAGATACATAAGTGTGAGCCTTATATGTCTGGGGGCTATTTTACTAGTCTTTGACATTAAACCCATCCACAAACTGGCTTTTAGAGCTTCATTAAAGAATTTCATTTTCTTATCATTTTTGTCTGCATGTCCTTTGTTTGATTTCTTATAGAATCTATTAGCTCTTTCCCACACATCACTAACCTTGCCAAACACTCTCTTCTTTGCTCTGCGTCTGTATTATCTCTACTCCAGGGGATCCATCTCTTCATACTGCTTAATTCTGCAAGTATTCGGTGAAAATTCATCAACTGATGTTTGCTTATTTGAGTCCTCATGTATTACCTTTAATTAACTATTTTTAATATCTCTATGCGATTGCTTTATTTATGATAGAAGGCCTGAAGAATCATCCTTGCTAGATTTAGAAGCTTATTTAGTAAGCTGAATCTTTATTACTAGATCTTTTATTACATCTTCCTAGCATTGGATTTTTTTATCGGATATCTCAGCAAGATCATCTCTATTTTGAGATTTAGTCATCTTATATCGCCGCATATTATCTCTTCCCGAATAGTATACTAAGCTTGATAAATACATTAACCAGAAAATAAGAACGACATAGAGGCCAGGCTTGAATAAAAAGTCAATTGGCTGAGGTTATTTATGCTATAGTAACTCCTAAAGATTTTTCATATAAATATCCATCGGGACTATTAATTCACCAACTGTAATATCCCCATAATCATAATCTGTAGCTACTTGATAAGCATCAGATTGATTTACAACTTCTTATTAATTACTCAGTACAGGAGTTTTAAACTGAGGAGAAAAGGAAGTAAGGTGATTGCACTTACATCTCACATGAGTGTTATCCAAACCCATAAAAGTGCATCCCTAAGTATCCCACGCACTGCTATTCCAATAAGAGCAGGCCATTTAACTTGCATTGAGAAGCTTTTACCTTTGCAAGTTCTGTGCTGCCTTGAATGGACTTAAAGAATTGTATTTACTCATAAATTCAGTCAGATTACTGTTATCTAAGTATGGAAAGTAAAATTCGAAGCCATTTTCGAGTCCATAGACATCTGCTTTTTCTTTGGTAGTATAATTGAACATGCTGACTTCGAATATATTTGTTGCTGTGTTTTATTTGTTGATTATTTCAAAAGGATTGAAGGCATACTCTATAGTTTCAAGAATAAAGTCATTTTCTACGTATACATTCGCATCTTCAAAATTATTAGGAGATATTTTTATCATAGTTCTCGAAGATCTTTTAGCTGATTCATATGCAGCAACTGTTTGTAATGTATCTTTATTCATAAGTTATTATTTGTAGCTGACCATTCTAGTTGTGAAAGATTTTACAGGGTTCAATTAACTTATTTAAATCAATGTATTCTATTTTACGCTGTAGAATATTTCCATAGCAGCTCTCATATTATCATATGAGTTTTGAAGTTTACTAGTATCGCTTCCCCAGTTTTTAGTCACATTATTCTTTATAGATAGCCATTCAATGTACTCAATCAGATTTGACATTAATAGTATGTAGTTATATAACTGCTGATCAGTCTATGATTCCCCTTCATATTCCCACCGTAATATTTTATAAGTTAAGATCGAGCATGCCACTCCAAAAGTTGAATCACTGATCATTTCTTTGTATTCAGTTGTAAGCTTTAAGAATTCAAACTCAAAAACTTTATCTGGGACTGAGTTATATCCAAGTAACAGCAACTCTGAAATACTTTTGATCATTGTAATTTATGAAGTATTAGAAAAAGTGCAGTTGACTCCACCATATGGTTCTGTGCAATTGCAGTAGTATTTTTTCTAGAAATCTAGATAAACACAATTCCCGTTGTTGTTGCATAGAGAATCTTAGCATGAGCCTGAATTTAGTTTTGGGTCAAATATAGTATTATCTTATTCATCAAGATTCCCAAGATATTTTGAAATCAGATTAATTTGATGTGCCATCTATAGAAATTCTATCTCAGATTCTAGTGAATCTGTTTTTAGCTTTTCTAAATCTTTAAGTGCGTCAGCATTTGATTTCTTTTCTAGTGAAATTGAAGTCATTGCAGTGTTAGAGAATCCTTAGGCGTTTATAGCCTTACATTTTATTTTGACATCTATAAACTTATCATAAGTTGATGCAAAAATGTAGCTGAGAGTTGCATTTTTATAATCAGAAGACTCTATAGGAATGAATATTTCACCTCCATCCATAGAGTAGTAGAATTCATACCTTATTAATGGCTCATTGTCTTGCCAAGCTAATTATTTTATCGTAAATTGAGTTACTGTCGAGATACCTAGTAAAGGACTTACTTGGCATTTTCCACTCTTTGGAGGGGCACCAACATAAATTTAATGAGTCAGAAATGAGTCCATATTACTGTAGTATTCCTCCTTACCTTAAACATAGAACGTAAGAGTATAATAGAAATTTGGTTACAGTACATTATTATCCAAATGAACTCGTGTTATATTTGTGTTATAGAATGTTTTAATGATATCCTGGGAGACATCTACAGAACCAGGATTCCTGATAACTTTCCAACCTAAATTCAAATGTTCTTATGCCTCATTGTTTAAAAGCTTAAATCTTGCATTTAATTCTATGAAATCTCCATGCTCGAAAATCGAATTATCTGAGGGACTTATATATTAGACAATAGGATTAAAATAGCAAAGTTAGTTTGCTATTTTTCCATACATCCCAATTGGGCATGATTCAACACAACCAGAGCCTTAAAACTGTCTAAAAGCAGTAGACTTACAGGTTGGGCAATTATTTGGAGTGCCTGAGCAGCTTATGCAAAATTCATTACAAGGATAGCATAGTCCATTTATCGGATCCATATAAGCCCCTTAAGGGCAATCTTATATTAATTCGCATGTAAACTTTTGCTCAACTAATTTTAAAGGAGCATTACATTCAACGCAGTCATTTATGGTGGGTCCTTTGCAATTTTTGCAATTAGAATGACAGGGAAAACATTATTAATAGCCTATTTTTTCACTATAATAGGCATATTTGCCTTAAGGACAGATTATAATCAATCTTTCTCTCATTTCCATTATATTTTGCACCGACCCCGCTAAGGGTTAACTAGTTGGATCTACTTTATTTGTTCCAGGACTTGAATAATCATACAATTTTGTTTCGGTTCCGTTATTAACTTCATTCAATTTCCAATAGGCAAACATGTCGGAGGAATAAATAACTGCATCTACGCTTCTAAAATACTGTATTTAAAATTCTGACCTTGCGATTTTCCAATATCTGAATTCTCGAAGATATCCATCGAAATTATTCTCATTTCCTTTTGGAATAGTAGTCCCTCCAAGAGTTAATTCAGTAGGCCTAGTTACATTTTTAGCGATCAATACTGACGCCATTGTACCAGTACTATACGATTAGCCATTAATATAGCATTTCAAGGATAAGGTATTTTCAGATAGAGTAAAAGCGAAATGATGCCATTAACCATTACTTAACTAGATATCTGTATTTTCACAATACATTAGGATTCCTTGGTAATTTAGTTGCAATCTTCCTACTGAAGGAAGTTTTCGAATTTTATAAGGACTCATTCCTATGATGATTTATGTCTAGTCATTCAATAGATTGTCTGCCTTTAACCAGATTTCAACTGTCATTTCATTAGGATCTAATGAAGATGGAAGCTAGTCATTATTTATTGGGAGGCTTAGTCTCTAATCCTAATCAACTCTCAAAACATATTCTCCAGTACAATTAATTTTATCTGTTGTTGGGACAAATCCTGTCATGCATTTATTGCAAGTATCTTTAGCAGTACAACTTTCACAGTAATATTTACATGATTAGCAAGTTAAAGTTGCTATCTCAGCAAAATATTGTGCTGGACACAACTAATCACAAGTAGTGCCCATTAAATAATTGTCAACACTGCAGGCAGAGCATTATGTATTTTAGGATCCAGTGCATACTTTGCAAGCAGGATCACAAGGATAGCAAAAGCCAGATGCTGTGGAATAATATTGATTCGGACATTTGTCTGAGCAGGTTCTTCCATTGGAGAGAAACCCTTATTTGCAAGACACACAATCTGAAGCATTATTTATACAAAGTTCACAGCCAATTTAGCAGGGCTAGCATTCTCTGACAGTTGAATTGTGGAAATAGCCAACTAGAGGGCATTTTGTTATGCATTTGCTATCTAGTAAGAATGTATCACTATCACAGGAAGTGCAAGTGTAGTTGTTGGTTTTGCAAGTCAAGCAGTCTGGTTAGCATTTCATGCATGATCTGGATTTATCATCTCCGTATGTAGCAGCAGGGCATTATGAAGCGACCACACATTTGATTCCATTGTAATAATATCCCTCTAAGCACTAAAAGCACTATATAGGTGAGCATGCAGAACACCCAGTATCACACAATAAGCATTGTTAAGTAATTGTATCGAAATAGGTGCCATCTGTGCAGTAATTATTTACACAAGTTCCATTAGAAAGTATCTTATTTGTTGTGCATGCTGTACATGTGCCTTGTGAGTCACAAGAAGTACAGCCAATTGGGCATTTTCTACAAACTCGCAATCCATCTTTGTCCTTATAAGTTCCCACTGGGCAACCAGATGTAGCTAACAGGCATTTTTATGATCCATCATCAATCAAGTTATGTGTGGAAGGACAAAATGTGCAGGCTGTAGAATTGAGGCAGGTACTACAAGGGGAAATACAATTTTCACATTTTCTTGTTGTATAATTTAAATACTATCCTGCCGGGCATTATTTAGCAAGACAAGAGTAGTCATACCAATTGAAGCCATTATCGCATGATAAGCATCTAGTAGAGGATTATTAAGCACATTCAAAACATGGGTTAGTACATTAAATACAATTAGATTTCGATGTTGTGGGATTATGATTATTCCTAAATCCAGGAGGACAAAGTACTTTTGCCTAAGTTGTCTCATTCACCCATTTAAGATTGATAGATCTCGAACTTGTAGCAAATTTACCTCCTATTTAAGATTTCCATGATGCAGTTGAATTTCCATCATTTAAAGTTGGATAAAAATCTTATAAAAAAGACGTGTCTTATGAGGTGCCATATTCTTGAGATATACCATAGTATCTATCAAAAAAATCCTGCATATTTGTAGTCATATGATTAACAAACCAAAAGGAAATCTCGCTCATTCGAACAAACTTTCCAGGCAACATGTAATTATAGGTAGAAATTGCAATTTGATCAGAGTGGTTATAAGCTTAGCCTAGAGATAGGCTAGTAACAAAATTATTTACTTTATATGTCCATGTAGTATTTGTACTTCCAAAACCTACCATTGCATTGTACCAATTATCATTAATAGCAATTTCGCTTAGTGCTTAATAGCCTTTAATAAAGATCAAGAAGCAACCAGTAGAGTTTCTAAATAGGTCAAGGTTTACTCTAACTGAATTTTGAAGACTGGGAGTTAATTCTACTAATCTAGTTGAATATCCATTATTGTGTTCGGAGCAAGTCATTCTAAACCAAAAGCTATAAAAACCTAATCCGATTCCTTATTTTCCTTTTAGAGGGTTGTCTACGATAAGTAGTGTATTGGTATAATCGGATTAAAGTTATAAAACATTATAGTCAACAGTTTGAGGTTTTATCTGAGTAATTATCGAAAGAAGTAGTAGTAAAAAGAGAAGACATTTCTTTTTCATTATTAATTATTTAGTTTTCAATAGGATTTTACAAGGGTATGTAGTTTAAATCACAATTAATATTGACGAAAATTGTTATAATTTATTGTTATATAAAGATCTGTCTATATTGCCTATCATGGGGTTTTGGGGTTTTGGGGTTTTGGGG